CAGCTGCTGTAACTGTGCCTCGTCGAAGCGATTGGTAATAATACCACTTTTCTTCGGTAGCCTAGAGGTCGGGAAAGGGACGCGGTGTCCGCAAGGTTCGAGCAGGGCTTACGTAGCGCCGCTAATGCACCTCATTCTAAGTACTCGACTCCTAGTCAACTTCCTTCAAAGCCTCGACGAGATATCATCGCCCGTGACTCTTGGGATGCGCTTCCCTTGAAACCTCGAACGTACTGTCCGGAGTTGCACCGCGTGCAGGAGCCGAAGAAGAGCTCTGCCCGTGGGCGTTCTTGGAACCAGTCTTCTGTGTTCTCGACACAGAGCTCATCGGGCAGACGAATAAAAGATTGTCCTGGTGATGTTGTATTGTCTCAGATACGCGAGCCTCGTTCGAGGCGGCAGTTGAATGTGAGCTGTAGGTGCTCAAAATTTTGATGGGGGAGAGTGTAACGGGGTCACAAGAGATGGTGTGATCACACAATGCTGTACCTACCCAAGATGGTTTTATCACACGATATTGTGGCTACACAAGATGGTGTGACCACACCATTGTTTGGCTATACTTAAACAACAAGTCAGTACGCGGCTAAAACAGCCAGTTGTTATACATTTAATTAGGTGTTTCTGAATAAATAGGGATTCTATAGACTTTGATACAGGCGGCTTTGCCGCGAATAAAACGAGAATTACAGCTTACATTCTAAACGGAAGAGTTAATTAGCCTTGGGTTTAGATTGTAGTTACTCTTGGAGTAAGCGGATTGCGATCCGCTACACTTGTGTATAGAATGAAGGTCACCGACCTACCTCTAGGCGATAGAGCCACGGCAGCCCCGCTGCATTACTAAAGCGGTACAACTTTCTACTTCTTACGAGCCAGTCGGGCATGAAGAGCTATGTTGTAGACGGAGATATTACTTGACTCTCTACCCGTTCTCGTCCCCTCAACGGGTGGACAAGAACATAAATCACATCCATTACGCCTGGTTAGACGGTTAAGACACCCGAGACATGAGTCGCTTCTAATTTATATTTGTGTACCCGCTAATTGCCTTCATATATAGTAATATTAAATCAGGTCATTAGAACTCAAAGAACTATGCTTCTCACGATTTTGGTTCTATTTTTTGCGTGAATATTTTACGAGCAGCTCAATGCTGCAGTTGAACATTCAAAACAAATAAAACGTAACTTGAGCAGTTTTCAGGATAAAAAAATCGTACAAGAAAAAATCAAGAAAAATGCAAGAGGACAAATATTCCGGCGGAAGGAAACATTGTATCTTAGTCATGGCCGAGTAAGTATAATCTGCTACTTGACAATGTAAGCAGATGCATGCAGAATAATGTTTGGAACTTTAATTTGTAGCAATACGAAAACTTTTGATGACTAAGCCTGCAAAATTTGTTTTTATCAGATCAGAAGTTATTATTATATCATTTGCAATATTATTTTCAGAAGATTATTCCGACACAACATCAAAGCTACCGTGTCGCTCTTGTACAAGCCAGACATCATCAATGATTTTTCCATATAGCCCACGTGCAGCTGGGTTCTCTGGGTCAGCTTCAACCTGCTGCCAGTTTAAATGCGTGGCATTCACAACTTCCATGCGCGAGTAACCAAAGATGTTATTTCGAAAGGCATCCCAGGTCTCTGTCGGTCGTTCAAAAGATTTGCGCATGATCGTCGTAAGGTACTGACCCGATGCTCCTGAAAGAATGTGCGTCGTAGCACGCATATTGCGCGTCCGCTTCCACGTCTTTGACTTGTACACGTCAAATGCTCGCTCATAATTGTGCTGGTGGCCACATAGATAAAGATCAACGCCATACTTATGAAACTTGTCTTCGAGTCTGTTACGAAGCATTGCCGCCTTCTCGCCGCAATTAGTGCTATCAGACGTGCAATACATCGGACGATGTCCAATGACAATAAGCCACGGAGTCTGCTCCCGGTTTGCATTAGCCTTGGCAAGATCTTGCTCTATCCACGCTTCCTGACGTGCAATCACGTCACCGTCGACCTCAAACGTCTTTTTGAAATAAATTTCTGTTGAGATGACAGTAAAGTGCACAAGTCCCACGTCGTAAGAGTAAAACCAATTGTTAGGCACCTTTTGGGGCTCGACGTTTTTTGAATGGCCACCGACATGCACTGTTTCGACCCCTTCGTATTTGTTACTTGGCATGAGTCGAAAGCGTTCAGAGTAGTGGCTAAAGGTGTTGTGATGCTCATGATTTCCAGGACAAACCATGAAAGGTACACTGGCAGCCATTGGTTCAATCTGCTGCATGAAGATATCTCCTACGTGGCCGTCGATCAGATCCAGATCGTACGCATAATCTCCGACAGACACCACGCCATCCACGCTGCCTTCTGCGACTTCAGATTGCATCATCGGTAATGTAGCTGCGTTTTGGTAACCGATGTCCCCAGTTACGAGAAATCGCATCGGCTTGGGCTGGTCTCCAACGATCGACCGGGCGGGTGCCGTTTTAGTCACAAACGGAATCGACCAGGACGAGTAGTGCGTATTTCCTACGACGTAAGTGTATCTAGTATCAGGCTTTAAGCCTTCAAGTCTTACAACATGCATCCAGCGCTTGGACTGAGCTTTACCATCATCCTCAAACAGCGTCGTGTTTGCATAAGCCATCACAGGTGTCGTCTTGATGATGTCGATGTCAATATGAGCATGATACCCTTCCACTAGCCTCAACTGAGCGACTCCCTTTGCACAAAACTGCTTGGTCATCCACTGCACGGAAAAACTGTCTGGTGTGTGTCCATACGCCGTGTGGACATGTTTTGGACGGCAATGCTCTGCTTCATCTCCTCGGTACGGGATGTTGACACCAAGTCGGTGAATTGCCGACCAGCCGTGGAGAATTGAGCCGACAGTGAACTCGTAAGACGACTCGTTTGAATCGAGATCGATCCAAGCAGAGTGCGAACTAAACGTGGCTTCGCTTGTAGCATTTGAGGTTGCAACCTTCCTCATGAAAGGCTCCTTTGAAGCGAGCATTGTAAAGTTTGCACCAAGTCGACGGTAGCGAACTTCAACATCATTGACCACGTCATGGCATGAACGCCACGGATTCGCGAGTGCTGGGCTGGCATCGTCAGCCTTTTGAAGATTTACTTGAGGAATATACGTACGTCGTGTTGACCATTGTACAAAGGCTTGAGATCCAACGATTGTTGAGTAAATGTCATATGGCACACAATTTTCCACCTCACGTTTTTCGAAATCGTGGGCGTCATCAGGTTCTTGCTCATTAAAAATTTCAATCGAGCTTAATGAAGTCTCGAACGAAGTCTCGAATGAAGTCAAAGAGATGGTTATCCCTACTAGCAGTAGCAGAGCTAGCAGTAACGTTATCTTTGAGACGACGCAGGATTCGACACTCTTGTCAAATGTGGGAATTGAGGGCTCAGGACAAGGTTCTACCGTGATGGATAGATACGCAGTGGTCGGTTGTTCCTTCTTGACAAAAGCCTCTTTGCTTTTCTGTGTGTGGGCTGGCATGTTTGAAAATGAAGTGGTATGGCTCAAGTGTCAAGCAAAATAGCACTGCAAAGGTAGAGCAATAGCATAACGCATATATATGAGAAATGTTGCCCAGCTTAACGGAAAAGTAAAATTTTGCTGCCGGTGAAGTCCAAGATGTCAGCCGGCGATCGGGCGTTTAATTTATACTTGATATATGCTCGATGGAACGGACGCAGTTGGGAAAGGAGAGCTCGAAGTGAGGCCTCTTCCATCGCACTGAAGTATTTACTTTTTTCGTGTTATTTTCAATGATTTTGGAATACTAAATTTTCTTTCACAGCAGCTGCAGAGAAAACTCAAAATTGCCTTTTAGGTTCTGAAACAACGAGGTCAGTTCCATTTTTTAAGCAGACAATCACCTGATACTATAAATTTTTTTTAAAGAAATGCCAGACAGCCGACGAAGCAGTCTCGTCGTTGTCTGTCATTCCATTGTGCATCAGCTCATCCCAAGTCGCATTACACAGTCGTATTTTTATGTAAATATTTACATTGATTTGTTTCTGCCTATCTGTCCGTCGATAGTATGGCAATGTTCGGTGTTTGAGAATAAAACGACATATTCTATAACATCTCTGTACTATGGTGGGAATATTATACATGTTTTTGCTATTCGTATACTTGCTGTGCTGTCTTTGATGAGGTCATGCATTTCACATGGAGGTGTAACGCTTCACAAAAACCATGCGATGTAAGTCTACTAATTTATACCTTACAGTACTGAAACTTAAACATTAATAACTGCACAAGCGCGTAAGGTCGCACGAATCCTAGACGGTAAAGGCAGATCAAAGCAGTAAGAACAGGGTAGAACAGATGTTGCTGCAGACATTAAAGTGTGAGTCAAAAAAATATTTGGATCCTTATTGATAGGCTCTACAGTACGAGTAAATCTTTCAATATAATATGAGCTCTAAGCTAAAACTTTAGACGAACTATACATTCAAAAGCTAAGAAAACCATTGTCTTTGCCGCTTCTCGATGATGAGCATATGAATTTGAACGAACTCACCTCATGCAGTCTTACTTCAAATACTAAGTCTCGAGATATCATTGTCAACGTCACTTGACACTTTGGCTATATCAATCAATTATCGACGAGAGTAGACGTAAAGATGCGCTTGAACATTCGAGGTAAATCCGACGTGTCAAGGCATACATGACCTCGGCCAGGTGGCAATTCGTAACGAATTCGCTCGGCTTCATCTGCAAACGATGCAATGAAAAGAGCATGAGCCTGGACGGTAGGATCAGCAACGAGTTTACGACCGAGATCTCTAGGTTCAATACCATATCGCTCGAGATTGGCATCACTCACAACAAACATGAAGCGATCTTTTCCTGATAGCGCAGCTACGCGCTCAATCCCTCGTTCCACGGCCTCTACTGTGTTATCTCCACTACGACAGTACTGTGTATGGGCTACCATCTTTTGAAGCACACGAAGTCGTTCCTTACGGTCTTTTGGTGGCGCTCCAAACTCCACGAAAGAAATTTCAGGCGAATTTCCACTATGTCCCGATATGCAATAATCCAGCTCGTGTTCAAATCCTGCAAAGCTTTCCATAATCATTAAAGAAGTTTCGAGCATCCGTTCCAATCGGGAGTCCTGTGGATTAAACCGATACATACTACCACTCACATCCATAACAAAAACTACCCGTTTCAAATCATTTTCTCGGTGATCTCCAGGTAGGGCTTCGCAAGGAATGTCGCCAACGCCTCGACGTTTAAACACGAGACGATCGCCTGCTACACCATCAACAAGTTTGCCATCGTCCAGCTCACCGCTGGACTGGTGACGTAACCAGTTTCGCTCTTGAGCCACTGCTTTGAGATTTGCTAGCACCGCACGCAGTTGAGAACATTCTCGTTCAACGCGACTGTAATACGTTTGGTAGGCTTGCCACTCGTGCCTACTCATGTCGATCTCGCGTAATTTATCAGCCAAAGTCTCCTGTGCCATCTCGTGAGCACGAGCACGTGCTTGAGCAGTCACTTCGTTCTTTTTTTCTTGAGAAACCTGGTGCACTGGGTGGCCCTTATTCAGTCGATACGGACCCCCTCGTCCTCCCAGTCCAGCCGTGTCAGACCCGCCACTTCTCGTATAACTTC